TGAGAATACGACGGTGTCTGACCGACTCGAACTTTAATCCCGATCAATCCGCCATACACCGAGTTGAACATTTATTTTAAAAATGCGTTTTCGTAAACCTTTTGGCTCACGTCGCGTCAAACAAATCGTCTCTGCCGACACAAAGAGAATGAAAATCTTCCGTCACTGCGTAATTTTGGATGATCGCTGGGTTTTGACAGGCGGCCGCAGATTCGACCGGCAGCCCATGCGCCGAGGCCAGAAAGGAGATCTCGCGTCCCGGAGAGGGTGCCTGATCCTTTTCTGAAGATCCTCATTCCCGACCTTCAATCTAATATCCTGCTGCGACCACCGAGAAGAGCCTGCCGACGCTGCCGTTATGATGCGACAGTGACACGCGACCGCCTCGGGCACTGACGCCTCATCGTGCCGCAGTCATTAAGAAAATTCCGTCTCCGGAACGATCCGGTAATTGTGCGCACAAATGGCCATGGTTGTGTGAACATACGCACCCAACTGTCAACAGAAACGGAGAGATCTCTTGCGAGTCGATTCGCCCTCTTGTCGCTCGCTCGCGTCCGGAAACTTCATTTATTCGTCACGATGAGTTTCCCTCCAGAAGTAGATTGTTCCCTGTCCCGGAAGACCGAAGATGAGAGAATTTGCTTTCCACATGTGACTTTGGAATCGATCGATCTCTCTCTGAAGTCACGGAGCGGGTGTCGATGAGAACGATAAGAGGGAGATTACTGGACAATTCCATCCGGTGAATACGGCGGCGCCGGCGGTCGAACCCTCGGTCAGCTCCTCGAAGATCGTGATTCGTTTCGAATAGAAAGCGACGGAAACGCGTGAAACGAAGCGAATGAGTCAAATGGATTCCGGGAGCTATCCCCCTCGGAATATTGAGACCTGACTGTCGCGCAGAAGCCCGTGATGACGGACTTTGCTTCCGTCGAGCTGTGGTTCCCAAAAAACCGAGTGGATCAATCCGATTTTTATTTTTCCTATAACTTTTCGTTTCCTCTTTCTATCTGTCTGACCTGCTCACTTCTCTCGCGGCGATTCTGACGTTCGATGTGTCCATTCGATTTGTATTCGAAACGCCAAAGAAATCTCACGTACGTCGGATAGTGAAAAAACTGACGGCGATCGGCAGTGATCTGGGACGCGGAAGTCACTCTGCTCCAAATCCGGAATCGTCAAAGAATATCCCCGCTCCAACTTCTGACGGGAGAAGTATCTTCTTCGTTCGATCTTCTGCTCCTGTCTACGGCGCGTCGGTCCCCTCAGCCGGTTCCGAGTTTGAGAACGCAGACTGTTTCATATTTATTTGTACATTCACTACGTCAAGCAAGGAATCCCTTCCCACCCTGCAGGGTAGGAAATAATAATAATAACGAACGTACCCATGTCGACCACGAAAGTGGAGCCCGTCGAAGACTCGGCGCCGCATAATCCTTATCGACCAAATGATTTCGAAGCATGTTCGAACAGAGTGAAATCGGATCTTCTGCGTAAATCGTTAAGACAGACCGCCGCCAGCTCGGCCATTACTATCACAGCACATCGAGGGGAAGAGATCAGAAGAGAGAGAGTCAATGAGTAGGGCTCTTTGTAGTAGGCCACTACTAGACAGCGAAGACGTTTCTAACGGCTTTACGACTTCAAGTCAGGTTAGAAAATCTTCGCATTGCCGAAGAGCAGCGCTTTGCTGACGAAGATCCACCGACAGCAGCTCGATTGCCGGAGCCACGGTGCCGCCAGAGCTTCTCTAAAAAACTTCACCAGTCACCCAGGTCGGCGCCCTGCTCGGATGCCGTGCTCATCTCTGGCCGTTTTCTTCTCCGTCGTCTATCGTTCCTATTTTTTCAACCGTTCTCTTCTTTCGTTTTCCACCGAAAGTTTTTACTTTTTGACCAGTTACGAACTGTTATTGCCTCAATCGCGAATCCTGTGACCTCCCACCGGCGAGCTCAACGGAAACATTCGAGCGAATGAAATGCGTCGGATTATCACTCACCCGAGAGGTTGTACGGCGAGCTCGTCTCGTCGGCTAACGGAGGGAACGGGTTCGAATGAAGATGGACATGTTTCTCGAGACTGCCCAGTGTCAAGCTCACTTAAGCCTCCCGGCGACTCCTCCTGGTCCGAGTCACGGTTCCTGCATTCCCGTCGGACTCATGGGATGCTTGATCATGCTTTTCACGACATATTTCAACCATCTATTAGGAACATGACACATTCACCTCACGAATTTTCTTCGCATTAATCAGATTCGCGGAGGAAGCGCCTAATTTTACGCCGAAGAAACTCATGCACGACCCGAATCGATCAGAGCTGTAACGAGCCTCCCTCCGTCTGTGTTGACATGCGTCTATGTATTTGATTATGCCGGAAAGTTCCGCCGACTTTCTGATAATCGACGGAGATCGTGAATCACGAGATCCGGTCAGAAGTGACGAGAAGACTCCTCTGCTGAAAATTGATTTCACTTTCAATAAATCAGAATAGCCTCACGGCTTAGCTTGGGGAGGAGCAGCTGTCCGGGAAAGCGCTGCGCACTCGGATAGAGATCACGTTGGAGGTTGAGGCAGTCGAAACAATCATTCGAAGCACGACTCGAATATCATTCAAAAAATGAGAGAGTCAATAATATTATCCGGCGTTGTCAAACGCGACCCCATCACGACCTCTGATCAGAGTCTATTATAAAGACTCCCATCCCCCATCGGAAACATGCCTGATCGACGTTTCGCGAGAGATGGCGAGCAGAGAAGATCAACGGAGACTCCGTGGCTCTCTGAAAAATATTTTTGACAAAACACGATTTGGAATCAGGGTCCATCGAGCGCTAGCGCTCCCGCTCTCAGCAACCTGAGAAGCATATATGTTCACCTGGGCAGGTCACGCAGGTCGTGTTAGTTATCGAAACGAGCTTGTTGGTTGGGGAGTGACCGGGTCGAGCTCCGTTGGGTGACTGTGCACGAAGTCTCTCTTCCTCTCTCCTCTTTCGGGTCTCTCTCCCAAACCCTGCTCTCTCGTCGGCTGCTCGTTTCTATACGGCCGAAACTGACCCGCTCATGGTCTCTCAGCGATATCATTTGATATGTTTCTCGCCATGTCTCCACCGGAGTCCAGCTCGACCCGTTTGCGGTGGGCTCCATGGAGATGAATGGGGAGAGAATTCCACGCTCGAATGAGCCTCGCGACTGCGAGCGAGCTCGAACCGGATCGATGAATCGCTCGATGCTGGAGCTGGGAATGCAAAAATGCCTGCCCACGACCCAGATGACGAGTTGGGTTCCGAGCGTCGGCTCAGCACTTGGTCGTACCAATCGAAAGATCTTAATTCGATAGGGTAGGTACTCGCTCGATCCAAATCATTTGTGCCAAATAAGCTCGTTTATCACGAGCTGGTCGGTGGCTCAGCTTAACTATGTTGATCACGAGTGCATGGTCAACGAGCTGAAGATAGGAATCTCTTGGACATTTGCTCAGGCATCAAAGTTTCGGGTTCGGAAGTTCTCGAAACTCGACCTCTGCATCCTTCCGTCTCGCAAGCGGCTACGGTCGCATGACGCAGGCTCGCTAGACGGATGCTTCGGGAGAGGAAGCTCTTTCCAAGCACGACGCAGATGATCCGATAATGGTACGATATATTCTGACCAGAAGAAAATCTCTCTGAGGATCACCCGGTAAGGCAACAGCAGTCAGAATCATGCGGACGACTGAAGACGACCTACGAGGGGAGGATAATTTTCGTTACGATACACGTCTTACGTTCTCATAGTTTTTATCGCGGTGCTTCGATTAATACGTCAAGATACGACCATCAAGTCATTTCGGTAGGATCGTATCCCGTCCGAAACAACCACAAGATGATAAACATCGGTACGGTACTGCGTGAGGAGAACACTCGTATCTCATTCCCAGCAGCAACCCATAATTACAGAGCTGGCGATGTAGCAGCTGATGATGATGACGAGAGTGAGGATAATGACGGAACGAAATCCAACTCCACCTAAAGTGCCGCGCAGAGTTCATGTTGTCGATGAAGTCCGAGTCGGCATTGGGTGCATTTTTGACTAGCGTCACCATCTCTCTGACCGGCCCGCGATACAATCACGAAGCACAGAGCAAAAAATATCCGCTCCCACTGAAACATTGTGGGGGAAGTAGCTCTGATCGTTAACCAGATCCATGACTTAGTGGCGTGAATCAAAAAAGTCGGCCTTATTTCATGAGAAATTCCTCATGCTCACTCCGTGACTCTGAGGCAAGGATTCTGATAGGGACGTGTGCCACCGGTGACGCTAGACGACGGCGGATCGTTGACGGGTCGGTGTTGAATTCGCGTGAATGAAGACTTTGAAGCGTCCTTCGGATGGGCCGCTCGTATCGCGCGATTAATGAAGGATTCGAACGTCGCTTCATCACCGACAGAGAGTTTAATCGTTGGAATAGAAAGCCACTTGTGCCTTCCTCTAATCTTTGAGCATAAACGATGGATGCGGGGAAGGGAGCGGGCGGGTGAGTGAGTCAGCTACTCAGTTATTCTCCGAGGGGTGGATTTTGTTATTCGAGCGGGACGGCAGCCGGTTGAGGGAGGGGGTGATGATCGAGAATAGAGGGGGATTACACCTCCGAGACTTTTCGTTCGTGTAAGCCCTCGATGGAACGAAGCTCAGATTCGCATGCTCGGGACTTCTCTAGAATAGTATCGTATGCTCCTCTTCAACCTTGGACTGTTTTAAGAGCGCGCCGTGCTTAGTACCTGAGCGTCTGGCTTGGTTCTCGGGCGCCGAAACTTTTCTCTCTCCTAATCAGCTATTAGAAGCCTTAGCTCTGTTCAGTGAATTAAGCGAGCGCTTCGCGAAAAAGAAATCGCCGACGCTTCACTTACCAGCCTCATAGACTTGTTGCTCGGCGGGTGGGCCGAGGTCTTGTGATGCTGAGAATATGAAGGTCGTCGCCAAATGCAGAATCATTCAATCTCTGATCGGAATTGATTTTTCCAGGGTTCTCAAGCCTCCTGGTGGTGAAGACAGCGACATTTTCGGCGTGAGGACCCCGTCGACTCCGTCCACTCCTCTCACCGCTTCCCCTCGTCGATCCAAGGTTTGTCATTACTCATTACTGACGGATATCATCGATAGTATTCTAATGATGGTGTCATGAAATTCAGTCGGTAGGTTTGTGACCGTTGTTGCTCCCGCCGCAGGGTCAGGCCTCGTCTATCTTCGGCTACGGGGATGAAATCGATAGAGCATCGGTTTCTTCTGGAGCCTCGACTCCCCGCAGGAAGATGTCGACTTCTTCTCAAGAACGTCTGTTCGGCTCTGAGGAATTCTCGACTCCACGACGCGTCGTAGATCGCATGAAGTCCTCCGTATTCGACGGCCAGCGCTCAGCGCCCACAACTCCGGTCGCCGTGAACAAGAAGTATAGTGAGTAGCCGAACTCGGGGCACAGAGCCAGTCTCCCGGTATTCAAATTTGTGTTCCCTCCCCACATGATTGCGACGGTCTGACAGATCTGACCTGATTTCCATGCAATATTCAGACCTCCCTCTATTCCAGTTTCTCGCAACCCCATCACAGGAGACGTGTACACCGTAGGATCCCCAACTCGTCAGGTAACTAGCTGATTCATTGACTCCCCGCGTTCCTGGAACGGAAGTCGGGGAATCGACCTATCTGTAGAGACCCAGCAATAATTTCTCTTGCCGGATATTCGGACCGGATAGGAACTTCAATTAGGTACTAGGGTCTCTATCGTCGAATGACCGTGGAGAGATCGATGAATTCATGTATCTTTCCGGGGCCTTATCACATAAATGACTGATGAGTGTGTCCGCTTTCAAGAGGCTGCTGGGATGAGTCTCCTCCGAAGCGTTCAAACCCATCATCTGTAGTACTAAACGCGTTGCCGTTTCCAGATCCGTGGCGGCTCATCAGACTGCTCCAGCAACGGATCCGTGTCGCCAGTGGAGGGCCTTCGCCCAAACGGCCGGTCCGGGCCACTGTTCTAAGCAATCTTTCTGCCGTGTTTTACATTGTAAAAACAACACAATATCCGTAACCTATCTGCGTATTGCACTGAAACGACCTAATTGGCATATTTCACTCATTTGTGGTTCTGGGAACCTCTGTACTCCGTCTTTCGACTCCACCGCTCAGAGTCCGCGAGCGTGAGGCACCCAAGTCCGAAAAACGATCCCTCTAAGCATCGGGTCTCACTAATTTATGTGAGCGAAAATTCGAATCCACCCGGTCATACAGCCGATCTATCCGATCTCGTTCGATTGCACCATTGCAATTATTCGCTGCACCACTCAAGATGGAGAGACGATGGGTTCGAATGAGAATTCTGCCGAGGTCAGAAAAATCTGAGAAGGACCGTCCCTTCCGCAGTTCTTTCGAAGGATACCGAGGGAAAGAAACAGAGGAAAAAAACAACAAAAAAAAGCTATGAAATATGAAAAGCCGTGCAAGCGCATTATTCGAAGTCGAGAAATGAAGGTTAGAAATCATCCGTGTGAGTGCCGACGGTCGAGCTTCAAAGACTTCAACCGTTACGAATTTCTCGATACATGCTCGCAGCTCTGCTCGAGATTTCGGTGATTCGCCGTGCCGTATACCGTTCTTCAGCAGTCTTCGAGAGCACTCACCGGGATCGGGAACTGGGGAATATTCTTCGTCGTCAGTGCCGATCGACGACTATCCACAAAGCAAACAACTCGTCTCGCAAGCTTGAGGTCGTCAACAATGCCATATTCTAGGATAAGCTACGGATATTGAGACACACAGCAGTCTGAATCGCTCGGAACGATACTGAAGCCCGGAATCTAACCGCGGAATCACTCTGAAATCCGTCGGTCCCCTCTTCCCCCCTACGATAGGATAATGAGCCAGTCGAATTCGTCAGTGTATTACTGTCCCGTATTTCCCGTGAAGCCCGGAGGTAGAATAATACAAGCCAGGGCTGGCCTCCCCGAGTGCCTTGAAACACCGACCAACCCACTAACAAAGCGACCTACCTACAAACCAGTGCAAATTCAGTGCTTTTATTTTTCGTGTCTGTGTGGCAAGGAGAACAACGGCAGCAGCAGCGGGATCGAAAGAAAATCCGCGGGAACGACTGGAAACTTCCCCTTCGACAACCCGTCTCGTCCGCCGTTGCATCACCGCAACTATTTTCTAAACCACAACGCGCGGAGTGTATGAGGTGTACATACAGAAGTATTGCCCTCCTCTGACTTTGTCGTAAAGCCGACGAAGGTGGATGGAATTCTGGGCCCAAGCCCTAGGAGAGGATCTGCCCGTGGTTAACGGCAGCGTTAGCAGCGGCAGCAGTCCAAACCCTGGTAGCACCACGCCCCAGCACGCAGAACATGAACTCAATACGTCGATAGTCGTTTTGGGACTTCTATCGCTTGCTAGCAGAATAAATGAAGCTATCACAATCGATAAGCGTACCGTAGCGAACACAATGGGACGAGCGAGCAAAGTCTGAATAAAATATGTGTACACGTACATTAGAGTCTATTCCATATGTATAATCATTATCCTTCTAGCTACTTCAGGAGACGAGAGTCCAACAATGCACCGGAATCCAAACGGTTCCTATGTGATATCGAACACCATTGCAGGCTTGCGAGGCGCTGATTGTCCTCAGATAAGAGCCGGAATCAGAGTCGACATCAACATCCGGCTCATACAATGATCAAGCCCTCCCGCAGCGAGAACCCTTCTCACTCCAGCTCGTTGTGGCGGAGCTCTTCGGAGAAAAATTTATATCAGCAGAAATCATTATGATCATCAGCTGCAGCAGATTTGTGTCAGGTCGATATCGGCGATCTAATAGGGAATAGGGTAGAAATCGAGAGTTCGGCAGCCCAACGCTGTCGTTTGAGTGATGTTATTCCTATACTAAGTCTTGGAGCCAGTATCTCCGAGCGTCGAGTCAGTTCGCATGAGCCGCTGCGAAACTCGATCCTTTCGTCGCCCTATGTTGTCTCGCTCACGAAAGAAAACGAAATAGTCTTGCGTCCGTGAGCTGTGTTTTCTGGTGCGGTGCGCCCACTAAAAAGCTGAAATCATGGATTGTCGAACGACATCTTTCCGAGAAAAGCTCTTCACCCTATGCGGCGCGACTTGCCCGAGGGGACCGACCTTCCCGCTGCCTGGCTGGAAGTTCATTTCCGGCTGGCTGGGTGAGGAGGAAATCCGAATGGAATTTGAAGCCCTGTGTGGGATTCACGAGACTGCCCACTTTCTCGAACGTCGTCTCCGAGTGCCGTTTCTGTGAGATATCAAAGAAAGTTCCCTTAAAGGTGAGGGAATTGTTCTCGTTCATTAGATTCGAGATAGCCCCGCTCCGTCTCCGGTTGGTCAAGTGAGAATCATTCGCCCATTCAATTTCCTCCCCAAAGCCGGGGGCTTTCATTCTCTCTCCTTCTTCGTCCCTGCAATTTGGAAAATCCACCGGCGGACAGCATTGGGAAGCTTTTCATCTCATCACTCATTAAGACGACAGACATTAGAATCTTTGTATGGGAGGTGAAAAGGAGGCTTTGAAGGAGGGAGGGGGGAAATACCGAGTCTCGGAGCTGAGTCGTGTGATGGCAGAAACTTTTAATGAAGGTGTTCTCAATGCTCGAAGCCGGAGCAACTCGCTCAGATCGAGAGCTTCTGAAAATTTAGGTTCCCTGCACCTTCCAGATGGGCATTCTCATGAAGAGCTCGTCTGAGGCTCCCGAAGAGGCTGAGCGGAGCTCAATCAATCACGTACATCCCGCACAAACGTACACTCTGTGGTACAATCTTAAACAGAATACTGGCCCGTGGTCCGACAGTCTGCTCGAAATAGCCACGGGGACAGCGATCGAGATTCTGGAAGAATTGAATGCCTTTGGATTACCCTCGAGTCCCGGACAACCTAGGGGTGACTTGTGCATCTTCAGATCACACATCGTGCCAATGTGGGAAGATCCACTCCAAATTCGAGGAGGCCGATGGACCGTCGATTTGAAAAAACCTCAAGTCGACATAGCGTGGTACCGCAGCGTCATGGCCTGGTTCCGCGCCAAAGAGAGCGAATGGAGCGCGGTCACCGGCATATACCTAATGATTCGAGGAAGAGCGAGGATCGCCTTATGGTTTGCCGACGGCGCCGACACGTCAGATATCAAGAATATACGCAATTATTGGAGTGAAGTCATTGGATCGGATTTGACATCCAACGCATCTTGTAATATGCATCAACCGGCTGCTTAAGCCGATCTCTCGGGCTCGTCTGAATTCCTCTGATCTCTGGTTAAGCCTTCAATCAGACAATCGGGCAGGGTCGAGGATGAGGCACCGCAAGCTTCCCATTGCACAGACAAACCCAAAAGAGAGAATCGGTGGAATTATTTAACATTCGGACGAATCGTGTTTAGCGAGACGGAACGTTGGGATGATTGTCGAATGCCTCCCAATGAACGATTCCGTCGCCAGCGACAAAAGGTGGTGAGACTCACAATAATAAATGGTGAGGAGAAGTTGAACCCTCTGCATACTATTTGAATTTCTCCCGGCTCTGCCGATTTCCAGCGAAACAGAATACAACGGAACTCCCTCTCCCGAGCAGAGATTTCATTTCGTGAAACTCGATCACTTTCGGTAGCTACACGAGACCGCCGCTGTTATTATAGTTCCCGGGGAACGCTTTCCGAGATCTATAACTGAGAGACCTTAGCTCAGCTCCGAGACATCATGCAGCCTCAAAGACGACTTTGAGGATGTTCTTCGAGCAAGACTCTGTGGTCGCTCACCGATGGCTTTCGGTAAACGAACGCCAATCCTCGGCTTAAGGCGTTAGGCTTCTTCTATCCGGCTCGACTAGCTCCTTCTCCCGTTCGCATCAGGATTTCTCCTCAATCCCTCATCAATCCAGTAATCTCGCACTCCTGGCATCAAGGTTACATCTGTTTTGACTCGGTAAGAAGTCCCGCAGGCGAGCTTCCACTCGGGGAAGCAAGACTCGGCAGCGGAGTGCTTTTTCAGCACACTATGAATGTATTGAGGGCGATATAATCGGGAAAGAAATTCGCTCCTTAATTTCACGTCCATCTCATTTTAATTGGATATGATTTCATCTCGACGTGCGCCATTTCTTTATCGGGGACCTATGCTTAATCTTGGAGATTGTTTTCGACTGACGCGTCAGCTCCGCCGATGGTGAGACTCTTCGAGTGTGCATCGGTCCTGAGTGATAGCGGATCGCTAATCGCAGCCGGTGCTCCCGATGCAAGTATGGATGAGGAATTAATTGAATCTCCCCACGCGACGTCATCGGACGAGCGCGATTCCGGCACCATCATAAACTTTGAGAGCAGGTATCCGTTCGAGCTTCAAAGTATGTCGGAGTTCGGCCCTGACTTTAACCTCCCGGCCACCATCTTGTGGGTCGGTACCTCCACGTGGGCCGAAGTTAGAGACCGCTTCCTGCTAGCCGACGTGTTTCCCTATGGTGATTAAACATGGTTTAAGAAAAAATTTCGCCCCCACAGTATGTGGAATCAATGTGCTCACATAGGTTCCGGATGGGCCTCGATGCGATGCATCTCAGACATTAATTTCAGCTCCCTACGTACACCCGTTTCCTCGAAGAAGCGCTGGATGTATGTTTAAAAATACTTTTGGTCGCTACTGTATGTATGTACATGTATGTGTGTATACGAGCAGAAGCTATATTCTGGACACGGAGCCTCTAGATTCTAGATCGTATGATTAGTGATTAGGGCTGGAGATTTTTCGCGGAAATTCGCGGCCTCCATTGGAAAAATGGCGGTCAGCGAAAAATCTTCAGCCCTGCGTATGATCAGTGAAATTTAGGTAGGGCTTGCTACGACCCATCGACTGACTGAGTGAGATGAATGAAGCATCCCTGGGTGCTGGGGATGCGTATCCATAGGGTTCTCGGAGCAGCGCTAATGTGAGTGCATGCGCTCGGGCGTCAAAGACAGGGGGTAAGTTCAACGAGGTCCGCGAACGCCTCCGTCACGAACCTGTTCAGCCCCACGGACTACCTGTCGTAGACCCCGCGAAACTCCGCGAACCACTAAGTGTGGGTTCGCCGCCATTCTGGAGCTCTGGCCAGCCCGGGAAAATTTCCGTGAAAAGAAGATGACTCGAGGAGGCTGCCCTCCTCTGGTTCAGACCATTTTTTGACTCGTCATGCTGCGCAAACGACGAACTGGTCCGACACAGGTTCGCAGCCGGGACCGGGTTCCCTCGTTCGTCATAAGTGAACTGCAAAGGAAGAGATTCCCCAAACCTCCCCCGTTCAAGGGCGCCCTAAGAGATGAGTCTCTTCGAGTGGCTGAGTACCTCATTGTGGGGATTTTACCTCACCCTCGTGATCTTCGAAAGCGGACGGCTGCGCGGCCGAGGTTATGCTAATGCATGGAGATCCTTCCGGGGCCGTTCACTTATATTCGTAGGTGCTCAGCTGCTCCTCATGGCATTCGCACCGGACTCCAGGTGAGTTTGCGAGTCTCTAGCTCCCGAGGATTGTGTCACCGACTGCTCCCTCCGATGGCCATGAGAAGAGTCACGGGTCACGGGAGTCTCGATATACGTCCCAATAGGAGATCCCCATTTAGGTAACGTATGCATATGACTACGATACCATTCTGGAAGTTTCGAATCGTTCCTCAGAAGAAGGCCACATATGATTCTCTCATTGACTTATTACCCCGGATACTGTTACGGCCGAGTTGAGCGAGGAAGGAACATCCGTTTGAATCAATGCAAAGATATTCCGGGATTGACGTGAGTGACTGCATCTCGATGGCAGACGTCGTTTCTGTTAGTTAGGAGAATTCCGGAAGCGAATCCTCATGAGGAAACCTGTCGAGAGCTCGACGAGAGCGGCGCTCCTAATGCCCGCTCTCTCGCCTCCCCATTATTCTGCCGCATATATCTTCAAATAGGTGGAATATACATGGTCTCTGGAACCACGACCAGAGGGATTCCCGGTTCGGTGGGAGCAGTTGGCAATTCAAAGATCAGTGTGAGTCCTCTTGGAAGCTACTCGCGGGGGCTCTTGGCCCGATTCTCGTCTCCGGTCAAGTTGATCGAAGATATTGATTCCCTTGAATCTGATCCCCGATTCCTCTGTTTTGCGCATTCCTCTGATGCTGCGGTAACAATAATCGAGAAATGAATCGCCTAACATACGCGGCTTGCTGATGATGATTATCATGAGCGGAATCGCTCCCCTGTCCGTCGATTGGCTTCGAAATTCCCCTAGGATTCCTCTCATGGATTCCTCTCATCGAATGCTTCCGAAGCGCACGGCTTGCAGTGAGTCACGTGCCTGAATCATGGAGAACTTTCTAGTTTCACGAGAGGTGCCAGCTGGCTTGAAAACTGAGTTGTCGCGAAGATGGAGGTCGGTTACTGGGAGAGAAGACCTCGACTTCTGGGAGTACGAATTCAGCAAGCATCAGAGCTCCCTAGCCGTGAAGTGAGTGAGGCCCAGGCAGTCATGAGTCGATCGTCTCCCATCTTGAGCGCTCACGGTAGCGCGAGTGCTCAATTTTCGAATCCCCAGCCCTGATTTGGATACGATTGAGAAATACTTCAGGAAGACCCTTGAACTTGCCGCTAGAGTTCCAATGTCTGGTGCGTTCACCAACGGACGGTCGCCCTCCGCACATGTACAACGTGCTTTTCGCGATCTCCATTTCCTGGCATCCTTTTCCTCTATTCCCCAGAGTGGCTCGCACGACGACGAATAACACCGAGTGATGTTGAAACATACGAGCTCCGACGTTTCACAGCTGCCATTAGCGAGGTTCATGGAAAAGAACCTAGAGTGAGCTGCAAGTTTCATGGAAGCATCGATCAGTGGGTCTTGACTGAAGTCGGCGTCTGCTTCAGCGGCGACTTCAGACCCACGGATTGCAAGAAGGGGTGAGGTGCTATCAGAGAAAGTAAGGAGTTCCCGTCGCGACCGCGGTCCTTATATTCTTCTTTTCCCTAGGAATTCCTGCCCAGGGAGGAGTATCCTCATGCCCTCCTCCAACCGCTTGCGACGATAACATACTGAACCGGTTCTGTTTCCCTGAATAAAGGAGATGGCACGAGAATCATTGTCATGGATGGATCAAGGGCTCTGCTCCGACAGGATTGTATTCCATTCCCATATTGGCATCACAGGCAGAGCCCCAATAGGAAACCGAACAAATAAGAACGACATCGAATGAGGAATTTCCAGCTTTTCAAATTCCAAACCTCCCTCGGCTTGGAAGTTCTTCAGCCACATTGCCTGTGACTTGACGGGGAGATGCAAAGAGGTCAGGAGTTTTAGCTCGAACGCTGAGAATCGACATCTCTCTTTAGAAGATCATCGCTCGCTCATCCTGTCGCTAATATAGGCGTCTACCCCGAGAGGCAATCGAAATGGATGTGATTGGAACGATCTTTATTTCCGCCTGTTAGGACCTTAGGACTCTCGTTTTGGAAATAGGATCCCAGTGTTTCCGTCTAGTTCGGGAGAGTCCCTAAGCATTCCCCTCAAATGGCCGTCTCGGGCAGGGTTCCCATCTGGAGAAGAAAGGAACAGCTCTCGGTATCTCAGCCGATGTCTCTCTTTCTCCGAGAGCGCTTCTTTCGCTGAGTCTTGATCTCTTCGAACGGACCTCAGCCTCCACATCGTCAATGAGTGGTTGGATGAGTTCCTCAATCTGCCTCATCTGATATAGTACCGAGGGAGCGGGTCCGAAATGAACATCGCCTACGAGGAGAGAAAAAAAATCCTAGTCTTCGGCATGAGAAATGACAAGCGCGGCGTAATGCCCGCTTCGAGCCAGTTCATGTAGAATGTAGACTGACTTAGGACGCGATCAGATGTCTCACGGCTCACTCTTCGCTGCAAACAACGAAACTTTTCACCGATTCTAACCAACCCGTGTTTCTCGGGATCTCGGCGAGTCACCATCGTATCTCACCATAGACTCGACAGTTCGTCATGACTGTGCACCGGTGGTTGATACCGTGGTCGATCTATATCGCGATCGAGTTCTATGACAACCTCAGATTGTGGGGACGCGGTCGACGCCCCGCATGGAGATCCTTAGGTGGCCGCACCCTGATATTCCTCGTCGCTCAACTCTTCCTCATGGCGGTTCAGCCAGACCGAGGAACGTCGTGAGTTTGCGGTCGTCTCGGATCGGTGGTCATTCTACTAAGTTCGCTGGAATTTCCCGCATCTCCCCGTCCGAGGGTCATAATTATTGCGGAACTGTTCACGGCAGAATATTCCCAACTGCTTGAAGCTATCTTTAAATACAAAATGATTCCACAGTAAACCACCGAACATGATTCTGTCCTTAGTTTACTATCCCGGCCACTGTCACGAGCGGATCGCGCCGAAGCAGGCAAAGGTGGAATTCTATCACTGCAGGCGAATCCCGGATCTGAAGTGAGTATTCCGTTCGAGGAGCGGCATCCGAGACACCTGATCACCAACGGCCGATGACGGGGTGCCATGAACGGTGCAAACTCTCAGGCGCCTGTTCTTCACTCGGTCTGTTTCTCCTCATCTCATCAGAGCTCTCGTCGCTACAGCGTGCTGAAATATTTCTCTCTGCAGATGGACCATCCACGGTTTGTGGAACCACGATACTTTTGACCCGGTTTTTGCGGACGACATGCTCATTCTAGAACTAATGAAAAGGGGTCAGTCGTCTGATAATACGAGGATCAGGCACTCAATCAAGAGGATTGAATCGTCTCTGAGTTTATTTCCATAGCCTTACCGACACTGGGACCTCCCACCATGCCAAGGAGGTTTGACTGATTGTGGCTTGCATCTCTTATCAGTATCGGAAGAGGTGTCGAACGAGGTGAAACTCCGAATGTCTCGTCAATGGAAATCTTTAAGTTCGAGAGATAATCTTCAGTTTTGGGCTTATGAGTTCGGGAAGCATCACGGATCACTGGCGGAGAAGTGAGTGACTTCACGCTCTCTATTAGCATCGAAGATTCATTCTGTCTCAATCTCCGGCTCTCAACTGAATTTTACAATCGAAACTCGGCGTCGGTTCCAGCCCTCATCTAGATACTATGCAGAAGTACTTCAGTAAAACTCTTGAGCTGGCATCTCAGGTTTTCATATCAGGTGCGTTCATCTCTCGAATTTCCCGCAGACGATGACACGCAGTCCCATATAGTGGAATACATAGCCAAGCCTTTCCATATTCCCTGTCCCAGGCTCCTGTGTCTTCCAGAGTGGCTCCGGAGGCAGAAAATAGAACCCGACGACCATAAAGGTTACTCGGCTTTGGAGATCGAGAAGGCAATCATCGGAAGACACAAAGGGAAACCGAGGTTGACGTGCAGGCATCTCTTCCAACGGAACCTGAGTGTGCTCTCCGAGATCGGCGTTTGTTTCGATGCCGACTTCAAGCCAACGGACTGTCGCAGCTCGTTAGTTACTCATGTGCAATGCCGAACTGTGCCAATCAAGGTGAGACCGGAATCGTAAAGCAGGCTCTAATGGTGACTCTGATTCGAAGGGACTCTTGTCCGATGCAAGACATCATCATGCCCAGCCCACTGCAATCTTGAAAGATCATGAGCGGGTGCCTCTGTCATCTTCATCGGCAAAAGAAGAAAGCGGCCGGAGGAAACGGATCTGCCTCAAAAAATTCTTGTCAGAGATGAATAAAATCCAGGGGGAAAGCATTACGCCGACCCGAGTCGAAGTTGATAGGCGGTATACTCTTGACTCCGAACCTCTCTGAATGAGCTGCGACGGCTCTGCGCGCTCCGAGACGAGATGGGGCTCGAAACAGTCAATGTCGGAAGTGGGTGCACGAAAGTTCGGCTCCCTCATTGGGAGTACATATCTCCTGAATTTTCTCCCGTCGTGATGTCTTTCCGATCATTTGAATCGCACTCGTTTTATGGTGGGTCAGAAGGGAAGAATTAGTTATACATCAGACGTCCTATCATAGAATCGAGTCAATATCTCTCATAGACTGATTTGATGCGTTTTGGAATCATCGCGCTGGGTAGCTTCTTCGGGAGACGAAAACAGTGATACTCGGAATTCTCAATCCAATAGGAAGCCCGTCATGGATAAGGAACGCCGACCATGGAAGAGCAAGGACCTCGGAAGAACATTCCAACTATCATTCCAATTATCCCAGCCCAAGACTATTTCTGGAATGTCCCGTTGTCAAAGAGTATCAACCGCAAGTATCGAACTACCGCCTGAATCCCTGGGCTCATCATCCGAGTCCAGCACAGTTGGAGTCTATCTTGCCGACGATCATCCCGCAACAATGAGAATCGCCACCTTCAAGGGTCCCGACCGTCGAGAGGAACGACTTGTCGCGGACTATAATTCTGTCGGCTCTCGAGCAGTGCTTCTCAATTGACGGGACATCCTTGTTTCCACGGGATCCGCGATGCGACTTCTAACCCAACGGGTCCGGGCGGGATATACTATATGTACGACCGGCGCCTGTCCGGATGATCTGATATGCTGTCTCTGTATTGTGAGGCACTCCGCGTCGTATCCGACCTGAGTATAGAGGCCTGAATCAATCGAAGAGTTCGCTCCTGTGGTAATTTTCATCACTTCTCAGAATTTTTTTCCGGTTTCCAATCGCATACAAAGAACGTCGAGTACGCATCCAAATGAAGCTCCCAAAGGCGCCCCATCGGAGCGCCGCGGATCCAGTGTCCTATGGGACGAAATAGATTTTCTCTCGGCACGTGTCGCGTCTGAAAATTTACGGGGCTCCTGTGAATACTGGTCACACGCAGCATTCGTCATCTATGCAAGCAACGATTCCGGTGCAACTTGAATTCGACATGCGTGGTTTCGGAGGGGATCTTACAGAGGACACTTCTTAGAAGAGAACTCGTGCGAGAAGCACACTCCTACTTCTTCGAGGATGCGATGAGGCCCTGCGAATGCCGCACCGTTGCCTGGTTGATCACGACAAAGCAGTCTGGGTCGCTTGAACTTGTCTAGCGCTTCGATGAGCGCCAGTTTACCGAGTGCTTCTTTTTTCGGTCCAAGGCTCGAGAGAACCTCTGTGGAGGGCAATTCGATGATGGCAAGTGTTCTCGGCGAAGAAGCTCATCCGGAAGGAAGATCCGAAAAGAAATCTGAATTTCCACAGCCATTGGTTGCTTAATTTCATCTCTAATCAGGAATAAAGGAAATATTTTCTCACTATTCATGTTGACCTTCCGCATGAGGCTTTCGACCTTCATCAAATAATCCTTGAAACTCTTCACATTCCTAAGAATAGAAAGGTCTCAGGGAGAGCCGCTGATACGGATCTTGGGAGACTCTTTCGTTGACAAATAAACGCAGAAAAATCCGACATCTCACGTGAGTTGGAAGGCCGCAGCATTCGAGTGGTAAGCTTGGACTGGAGGCTCATCCGGTGAGTCAGGTGTGAGCCTGGGCCAGAGTGGCCCCAAGCTTCGTCTGAGATCTTCGAATTCTGCGCTGTGCCCTGTCAAACCGCATCAGAAATCAGCTCCTTCGGCATGTCGGCGCGTGAAGAAAATATCCATAGGGTAGTTCGAGGCATACACTCACACATTTCCGACAGCTCTTTCAAGGATTTCTTCGAGTCCGGGTGGACATGGGGATGGGAAGCATCGAGCTTGAAGTGCATGAAATCCTCGCAGACCAGACTGCCGACAGCCCATCTGAAAGGACGAAAATCAGAACAACCCCCGACGACTGCGTCCCATGAGGTCAGTTTCGCTGGACAGATGAGTCGATCCTTACGGGGTGCCATTCGTGGAGAGGCAAGGATCCCCAGCCGCCGTCGATCCCTGGTAACAATACCCCGGTACATAGACGATCCGGAGCAAGAAAACCAGCTGCTTGCGACTGAAATGTGTTCATAATGAAACTCTTGCTCTGTTTAAGAGCTCCCGTTCGGTGAATGCGATCTTCGGCACGAAAGACTGCGTTCTAGCTAACGATAACCAACTCGTCGAATGTCCGGAGTGGACTCACTTGATCGTAGACGGATCTATTTTCAGTTCCTCTACTTGTCTCGGCTTCGGTTTCTTCCTTCTTGTTTTCAATGCTGCCAGTCCCCCTTTTCGAGCTTGTAGGCCCATGCCTCCATCGGGCAGCGGCGCCGGCACAAGCGCTGCCGGAGGAATCGGCGCTTGCAGAGTAGTCTGCGGCTTGTCAGCTGGGGGGCCTATAGCCGACGCCCCTCCGGGTAGACCGCCCGGCGGACCCTGTCCCGCTTGCCCAGCCGGCTGGACTCCTCCTGCATGCTTCCCTGGAAGGACCGCTCGTTCCAAAGCCGTCGCATCACCTTCTGTACTTGGGTCTTTTTCGAACACCAGTGGCATATAACCCTCATCGCCACATAGGCGGCATTTTGCCCATGGTTGCCAGAAGAATATGTGAAGTTTCCCTTGCGCTTCGGACTGATTGCGAACAGGTTGAGCATCTCGCACAAGAGAGTCTGCGCCGAGAGCGCCTCCTCGGAGTTCGTTCACCTGGGCAGAACGCCCAGTCGTGCACAGGAGCCACGAGAAGTAGCCGACGACGCTCATAAGTGCAAATAGGCTCAAGGATCTCCCCGGTCCCCAACCGCGTATTCGCAAGCCTCGTTGGGCGAGGAGCACCGTCAGCAGTGAACTCGAGAGGATTCCGAGAATCCAAGAGGCAACGGGAAACATTGCTCTCGATTAGATTTTCTGTATAGATTTCGATTTCGTTGTCTCAAGCTCACGAGCAATAATAAGATCGATAGGTAATTCCATTAGAGCTTTTCCGCTTCGAGGCACAGCTGTTGGACGTGAGCACGATCAGCTCGGTGCCACTGACGCTCACGCTCATTCGGAGTGGAGCGAGAAATGTCATGAATCTCGACGATTGTCCTCAGACGTTCGGAAGGAGCGCCTTCTTCGTAAGTCAGGAATCCATCGGAGGAAACGGATACGCATCCGCAATCCAAATGCAGATCAGTCTAATAACGGTCAACGGAGCGTCTGAGCGGCCCATTGGTGAGGGGCTGCGTTTCCATGGAGTTCATAAGAAAATGATTCGTCGAGAATCCAGATTGAAAGCGTACGACGCACCTTGAATCGGTCGTGTCCTCTGACATACGAATTCGAGCACTAGAGGCCTATCCGACAGAAGGAAGAAATCCATCGAGGCAGGGGGAGACAAGGTCATGTCTCAGATCGGATGATTGTCGCCACGGAAGTCTTTTGATCGGCTCAGTGCGCACAGAGTCAAAGACGGAGCCGTCCACGGAACCGGGCCGGCGGTATCCTTGCCATGGCGATGCAGCCGACGCCGGGAGCCTTCTTCCAGTCTCGACTCCCGAGACCGGCCGCTATTTATCGTCAAGCGAGCAAGCTGGGGATTGCAGCTTACTTCGACTTTCTAGGACGCTGAGCTGGTAACGATTCGCACCCTGCGAACGGGCGATTCTGTCATTTGGAAGAGCCTGATCGGAGAGCTGCGAGCATCGATGCCTCTTTAATGACGCAAGCGTGACTCGACCGATTTTTGTCAATGATCCGACAGGGTTACCTGATATTCTGTCACAGAATATTTCAGTTTCATGACGTATAATTTTTCCCGTAATTCAACGAGTACCTAATTGAATATTTCCCGCCGATCGAGAAGTTTGTTCGACCTCATCTCCGACCCAAACATCTCAACCACAAATAATTCCGCTACACGCATCAGCGAGTAATTTCGTCGCACACATCGCCTACTTCAGCTATCACAAACCAATATTCACAATCATCGAACGAGTAAGTTCCCTGAAACCACAAGCCCTGTGCTCTCAGCTCTAGCATTCGACGTAGTTATTCGGAATGCGAGAGTTTGGGATCTAGTGGGATCCGGGATTTCCGGACGTGCAGAAGCTTGAGAACGGACCAGCGTCGCCGAAACCGCAAATCCCCACACGAGAGGAACAATCGAAGTTGTGCGATTGCGGAAGCGTAGAGCGCTCCGAACTGCTTCCAAAACAGGTATGCATGCATCAAGTACGCTACACGGTACGTGGTTCGAATTCAAGAGGGTAACTCCCTGGAAGATTCCGGTTCGTATTATCCCATCGACATTCCGTGTCGCCGAGGATGCCTGAGCGTATGTCCGAACGCCACCATGCCGATCATTCTCGAACTAGAGGAGTCGTTGGAGATCGTCAAGATTGAGGATTAGCCTAAGTTACTTTTCCGATTTCATGGCAGCTTCTAAGGGGAAGCCATATTTCACCATGGAGCATAGGTGACATTGGAGCATCTTCGAATAATCCTCCGTCGTTTTCGATCGACGACGCCTGTTACCCTCGATCTCACTCACAGAGAGGTGCTAAACAAGGATGGCTATTCATGGCCTCCACAACACACCGACCCTTCATGGAATGAAATTGAGCAGACATTGTTGGATGCTCAGGCAGAGCTCTACGCCTTTCAAGCCGATTGACGCTTTTGGCGACGTAGGCGGCCAACACCATGTTTCCTCGGGCAAGGTCACAAAGGCCGGTGTGATTCGAGCGCCTAAGGCGATTCCATTGGGTATTCAAAGATTTACGATCGAAATAGTCACGAGGCTTTCTGTGGACAGTGCTTGAATCTCAGTGAGATGTGCTGAATCGCGTGAATCAACAAGACATATTTCTCCGCATCCCGCAGCGTCCGCAAAGAATGCCGATTACACTAGACTCCAATCCATATCTATAAGAAGCATCCGATCTCTCCGAAACCATTGTCCTCTCTGACATTGCGGCACGCGTTGGCTTGAACGATGAACTGCCGGATGTTCTCGGTCACCTGTGCGCTCCTGGTGGCTTCGCAGATCCTCATTGCCTCCGGTATTTTGTTCACACATACTATTCTGGGCGGATTGGGATCCGCGATCGCGATAATTGCCTAAAAGCTCGCTGGGAGCTTGGCGGAAAGTAGCTACTCCTGATTTTTCTTTCCTTCTACTCCAGGTTTAAAATGCGGTGTATGCTGCTCCGTTTGGAAGCCGCGTTCGTGTGTTCTCTTCTTGGGTTGCACATGTCCTGCAATGTCTAGTGCGTTCGTGTGATCTATCCCGGGAGTCGATCAGACTACCAATACGTACTCGAAAGGCCTCATTAGCCTGAGGAAGTCATCCCGTCGCCAACTTCAGTCTCGTGTGACTCACGAAAATGATTAGGGACTTGATATTTTCCAGATGGCTTCTGCGTGCAGTGCTGTCGAGGAAATAGGCAGGCAGCTACCAGATGTGATCTATGTGAATGTCCCAGGGCACCAGGATCGCGAACGACAGGTACAGGACGATTTCACACCCTGAGCATTGAAAAGTATGATCTTGATTTAATTTGAAGGAGTTGCCTCGCCGAAGATATCGACGCCGCGAACCCCAAAAGAGCAGTTCGGGCTACCGGAGGCAGAAGCTGATCGTGAGTTACATTCCGAAAGCTTTTGCGATAGTTCATACGTAAAATTCGATGCATCATTCCTCAAGCGCTCCCTGGGACCGATAAGGGTGGGGAAACGGAGGCCACCACCTACATCACAAGGGCCAACACGGACACCACCAAAGTCAGCACCGATCTATCTACGGTCAACACGGACATCACCGCGGTCAACACGAATATCACCACGGCCGCCACGGACGTCACCACGGTCGTCACTTCCGAAGCTCCCTAGAACGGAACCGAGTCCAGGGCTAGATGATCATCCTCGGAGGAGTTCGGAAGTTGAGAATGTCGTGGGGAACCGACTCGGGATCTTTGTCAGTTTCCACTGAGCCTCAGGGGCAAGTGACCATCAATCGCTAAATTTTTGAGAAATAAAGCGTAAAGCGGAGCCGGGCACGCTATTCCAAGGACTCCGAAAGAGAGAGCCTCTACTGATCGAGTTCAGGTATCGAGCGAAACCTTCTGTCATGAGCACGGTCAGACTTTCGTCGCGGCATTCCGGCTGAAACCCAGAGATTGGGCGGAGAAGAGATATCGGTGTACTGATGATTATTCCCTAGCTTCCTCCGAATGCCAGCGGAGGCTGGCACTCAAGGAATATCGGAACTACTATCCTACCATTGAGACAGTGCCTGGAGATGAAGAAGAACTTCGAAAAAACTGCCCAATTGAATTCACTGCCCCCTGGGCGAACGGGGGAATTTAGGCGCGACCGCGCATGCCGCGACGAAAGTCTAGCCCTAGTCATGAGTAATGCGCACCAGATTCCGGCAGCCTTGACTGGAAACAGTGGCGGATGCAGCACGACGATGCTTGGAATACACATAGACACCATCATCAAATCCAGGGTTCAAATACATTCGGGGTTACAACCTATAAGGACACCAACTTCTTGCTCGGACCTCGAGAACGACTTCAATGGAGTATCTTCAGATGTAAGCTCGGATACCAAGAATTTCTCCGGTTCCGATTTGGAAGTCAGAGCGACAAGAACAGACGCGAAACTCTTTGCTGCCGTAACTTCTAGTTCCACGATCCGTCTTTCGAGGTACTCCGAAATGAGAAATGAGCGATCATCGGAGATGAGTGATTCCGGATTCCTCTCACTAATGAGAAGATCTCGGCGCTTACGTGGTATTCTCTGTTGCCCGGGGCATGTTCTTCTTAGTTCGCTGCTGCCTCTCGGTCTGGTCCTAGTCCTAATCCAACACTATCCCCCTAGTATTGACTCATCGAGAGACTTTTTGAGGAAAGAGGATGTCTTTGGCGAGAAATTCTCGAGCCCGTTGATCCCCGATGGCAGGTAGGAATCTCTTGGCGATCACGATAGAGGAAGCGACTTTATTTGGAGTCAGCGCGAGGTTTTACTTCAACGCGATTGATGAATCCTTGGAACATCGGCTCGGATGGGATAGACAACATCTATGTTGAGCGCAGGATCCTCCCTCTGAATAAACTCGGGCGAATCACCATTGGCGTCTTTTCACATGTTGGGCGACAGCTTCACCAAGCATTCTTCGAGAGGACCGCTTTTTCCTGGATCAGTTGCTTCGAGAGCTTTTTTGGCTTCAGCCATTTTCTCTTTGAACACTTCCGTGGACGGTTTCTCTCCCATCGTGATTGGTTTCATGATCTCCGTGAATTTGGCCTCACCAGCGTCGCTGATTTTCAAGTCCATGAAACACTTCTTGATGTCCTCAGGTTTCGGTGCCGCAAGAGCGAACGACACGACAGAAAGCAGGACAATGACGCAGGCCTTCATGATGATACGGTGCGTTTCTGAAAGTGACGAGTAGCGTCCCCGCGCAAGCTTTATATGCTCGATAAAGAACCACGATTTTAATGAAAAGAGGCGGTCCGCTCTCATAAAGTACCGAGTCACGCAATTTCAGCAAACGATCGGGAGTGGCAATGGTGTCTTTCGATTGAAGTTCCCTTTCATTCACCTATCCTCCGCGGCTATTCTGCGAGAGAATCAACATTGACCCGGCTAAGTCAAATGTTAGACCTATACCTTTCCGCACTATCGAGCTCGGCTCGGGTTTTTTCCGCCCGTGACTCATCAACCCACGACGGGGATTGGATTGTCTTGGATATCCCGGAGCCGCAGGGACAGCTCTCCGCGCATAGGTCAGCTCATGTGGCGGACCATCTCTATCAAGCAAAAAGCGGAATTAGGGTACGGCGCCTCCGTTTGTGATTTGTATCTTTGATTTTCAGCCGTGACGTGCGGAATTCCTATGGTTCATCCACTTTGATCGCTCGATGTAATCGGATATCGCGCCCCGGATGAGGGGCTTCCGGGGCGGAAGGCCGTACCACGCACCCGTATGCCCTAGATGCGCCTGCAAGGGACTGCGCTCCGATGACTGTTCCGTTCGCGAGACCCGCGCGCAAGGAAAAATTCTTGTGCGCGATTCGCTATTGGCTATTGGTGATGAATCGAGAGGGGGAAGGTTCTGTGTTCTGTGACGCAGAGGCTTCTTCTTCTTCTCCTGAGCGAAGAAAGAGGGCAGAAGGTTCCGACGCGGACTTTTGTGAGCCTGTGATCGGCCATGCCAAACGGCAAATTATACAAAAATTCCACTCATAGCGAACGTCTCTCGTGAAGAATTCCCTTCCGAAGAGGATTCCTGGTACGTGCGATGCCTCCTTCTGATGAGACTACGGCAATCATCGATTCGGTATCCAGGAAATCCGAGATCCGCGTGAGGTTTTTCTATTCATCGCAACCGGAGTATCCTAAGTATCCCTCAGCCTTACGCGGTGCTCACAAAGTGAATCGAGGAAGCTGCGTAAACTTCGGCAACTCTCAATCATCCTTTGTGACATCTGGCTCTCTTTTTCACGTCATTGACACTACGCAAACGACTCCGTGCGATAGCCTGACAGCTCTGATGGCTTCGGAGCCGTTGGATTAGCGGAGCGGCAGACTGCTATGGGTGATATCGGAGCTCCGCATTCGAGGGCAGCACGACACGGTTCAGTGGCGGATCCAGGAGGGGGCGGGCGGAGACTTCCTCGAGACTTCCGACTCACTATACTCCCCGTGTTTTAGCAGGACCCAGATATCAATCCGCCCCTGGCTCGATGCATTGACTCGCCCCCCCCTCCCCTTGGAGGACTCCTGGATCCGCCCCTGATATGGTTATCGCAGTATTGATCTGTTGCATTCTTGGTGTTCCGAGGTTGAGAAGGCTCATCAACTATCTCTCACTCAGCAGATCCTCGTTACGATATCAAGTACGTCTTGGCCCAATCCTGGAGAATGAACTCGAGTTCTCGAGTTGAGTATTCCACATCACATACACACAAGAAGAGGAAGCAGAGAATGATTTCCCGGGTCGATCTCGGAATGTTTAATGTGATGCCCTTCAAAGGATTCCTCAAAATTCAAAGCCTCCCTAGTCCCGCAGCCTTGGTGAAATGCAATCCGGATCGATATCGGCTGTATCGAATCTTTATTTCACATCGCTCATAAAGCCTCTCATCGCTGAGATTATCACAGTGAATTCAAATCCACGGACAGGGTCCCCATGTATTTTCTCTTCCAGAAGCCTGAGAAGAATTCAAACACATTTCCTAGGCACGGGGAAATTCGCTAACGGCTTGGATGGTTCATTTGGAAAACGGATGGTCGGAGATCTCCGACTCTCTGAGTCTCGAACGAGCCTTGCCATTGATATCCCTCTACTATCTTGTAGGGGCGCGAGATCGTTGAGGAGGCCATTCTCTGCCTTTTTCTGACTTTTCGACTCTTTGTGCGGGAAAATATCTCCTCTGTCATCTGGGTTCTCCTTCAAAATGCAGTCTTTCAAAATGTCTTGCTTACACAGTTGATATGCAGTTCTAGTAAAAAACTTCCGCGAGGGATTTAAGGATAGAACTTCAAGAGTCACGGTAGCTCCACATTCGTCAATTCTCCAGAGCATGGCGTAGACATCAGGGCTTGACCATGGAGAAATGACCGCAGCCCTCATGACGAAACGAGGCAGAGTGCAAATTTAGAGAAGATATCTCAATGCGGATTCGGCTATAGCGGTCCTGTATATTACTGATGCCGTGACCTGAAAGGAGGGCTGTGTACCGGAGCGTGCTTAGGGAAAATTCGTTTCGGGGTGGTTTGTCTCACTGAAGCATGATCCAAACATTCCGAAAATCCGGGCTTCCCGGAGAACCGTCTTACCTGAGAGATATCGCTTGTCGCACCTGACATTCATGAGGGACGGGAGGATTTGGACCAAGTGGGCAAGACCGTCGTCAGTGACTGCGGTCTAGAAAAAAGATAATTCAGGGTTCCTCTCCCGCGAGCGCTCCGGGCGGAGAGACTCTGATTTTACGGAGTTCTACTCACTTGGATAATACACAAAGATGCAAGATTGGCGAAGCTACCCTCAGGAAGCGACAGGACCACAGCGTCATTAAGAGATGTACAGCCGATGAATAGGTACCTGAAGAGGTGTTTCTCGATCGTAGATCTGCATCAAACTCTCGGTCTCCAGGAAGACTACCCATGCATGAACAATATCCAGTGTTCGGAACCAACTGTGAACCAGGATCCGAAAACACATCAGGTACCTTTCTCATGCGATGGTCCACTCACCTCAGAAAATTACAGTGCCGGGCGATCATCGTGAATGCATGATCCACTATGTAGGTACCCTCCACATCGAGCAGAGTCAGTTGGGAACATTTGGTCAGAAGGTCGGTGAGATATTGCTGTGTATCGATGAAAGGACATCCCTGAGAAGCATTAAAATCAAGGATAAATGATAGGTTCCCGAGCCTCATGTGGGCTCTCCTCTCGGAACCCGATATCAGCTCAACTGATCACCGTGAGGATATCTCGACCTAGAAAACTTGCCTCCAAATAAAGTTCCTTCAGCTGTGGCAGCCTTGGGAAAGGCTTGACCTCGGCATCGGCCACAAAGAAGCATCTACCGATATCGAGGACTCTGAGTTGGTCCAGAGCCGTGACATGCTCGGGTTTCATTTTGAAGAAAGCGCAGCGCCCTGAGTAAGACACACAGGCTCGAGCTCGAACTCGTCTCAGGACAGCTTTGATGTCGAACACGAATTTCTAGGTAATCATGAAGCTTACCTATGATGGAACCCCTTAGGGATAAAATCTCAAGCGTCGATGGGAAGTCAATGAGACGGACGCATTTATCTTTCGAAGATGACCGGAATGAGAAATTCTCAATCTTCAAGCATCTGTAGACGAGAACCACTATGTATGTGCCTGAGATGATCGGCTGATTGACTCGCGGTACAGGTTACATGTCGAAAGCTCCGGCAAGGAGGAATTATTTGATCGAAATCGACGGCTCACCTAAGCCTCGGGCAGCGTTTGCTGATTTTTGCCAACGCTCTCGGGGAGATATTCTTCAACCAAAGACAGCCGTGGTTACCGAACACTGTGAGTTTCTCGACTGAGGGCATGGTTTCGACATGCAGAAGCAACTCGAGTTGCTTTGGCGTCAGCTCCAAGGAGCTCAGGTCCACTTGCTTATGTAGCGTGTAATCGCGACTCAGGGAATACCATCTCCGACATACACTGAAAATATAGAACGCAGCTTTTAGAATCGACAGTTCCACATCTTTGAGCTCCACAGCGGCTCATGCCGAGTTGGCTGATCATCCTCACAGAGGGAAGCTCATCTGTGCTGTACTTACAGTCCTGCGATACATAGATCTAAGAAGTCCAGATGTGAGAAAATTTTCAGGAGCATGTAGTCTGGCAAATCGGAGATCTTCGTCTGAGATCCCCTATGTTGCACTAGGGAAAAGGGAGCAGTCACAGGTGGGCAGCGGAGCCGGAATGTTATTGATTGATCGTATCCGATTTCCGATATTTCTCAGTATCCCAACCCACCTCTGGAGCCTAGGTGGAAGAATGAGACTTCGCTGACAGCATCTGTCGATTCGGAACAGCACACGGCTCCCATCGTAGATCTATAGGGCAATGAAAGCCCTCATTACGGGGAACGAGCAGTCGGACATAAGATTCTGCAAAGGAGGAGAGCGATGGGTCCCACAGACGGCAGGGGAGCTGATACCGGTGTACTGTACGCAACGATTCAGATATGACAAGCCGACTCAATCAGTTGGCCATTATCTCAATTGAAAGTTATTATTGCATGGACCGGGAGCTCCCCGACCTCAAGACTTAATCGGAACCACCTCTAGCCGGCTATTGGTTTCGACGCAATGCTTTAATGCTCAGACACCATGCACTTCAGTCACTGTCCGCATCGGAAGCGCCATTCAAACAGACGAAACGTGATTTCTCGGCGGTAATTGAAAGCTCGAGCCTGGTGGATCTCCCATTCGATCTCTATTCCTCAGGCGTACCCATACAGGATCTAGAATGAGTCGGTTCCGAGCGAGAGTCCGAGAACGAGGGTCGCCTCTCTCGAGACTCGAGACGCTCGAGAGCCCTCGAGTTCTGGGAGGTTCTGGAACTCTGCCGTCAAGTTCGAAGAGAGACTTCGATGGAGGAAATCAATCCGTGGAACTACAGATAAGAGACATTAAAATGCCATGCTTGAGCTGTGGTCGAATAAGGAGGCTCTCCCTCTCTGCATCGAAGACAGTGACCAAGCGAGATATCGTTATCAAGCTTCTGCTTAGTCTCCATCAACGAACGGAACACATCTGATAATTTCTGCCTGGGCTCACCGGCGCTCCTCCGTGAGTCATCCCGCGGAGAGAAATGAGTCAGGAGCAGGGAATTCATCGGAAGATACTGTCCGGCCCCGAGGTGGCGGGCTTGAGAATTTATTTATGGACGAAAAAATCAGCGCTCGATTTCCCCGGGAGATGGCTCGGGAATCGGGAGCTTGAAAACAGCTGGTGAGGGCACAGCTGACAGCTCCACCCGCGCGGGCTCCATCCTTCACGGAGCTCCCGCGACCTCCGGAGGGGGGACAGCTTACCACAGATATCTTGGGTTGTGCTCTGCGAGTGCGGATCTTATAGGCGTATAACCAATACGTTCACCCGACGCAGGGCCGTGCTCCGGCGGCGCTCAGCTCGATACCACGACTAGGGCTCGGTTCTCCGTGTGTCTGAGTGTTTTGAATGTGTTTGTGTCTAGGTTCGCCGGCACTGTTCGTGGAACAACAGCAGGCACTTGAATTCAAACTTGGGCGGAAAATCTATGTCCGACAGTGTCGAACTCCGAGATGTTCCATGCTGCCTTGGCTATTGGAGCTTCTCTCATAATTGCATTGTTCCGCTGAAACCGGGTAGAGCGCAACTATGACTTGATGAAATTGACCCGATTTCTGAGAGCGATCCGCCTATCGTACTGTTTCACGCGGAGGGGCATGGTTCGTCCCGAAAAAGATTTTATTCACGCTTGCCAATGATGACTCGCAGCTGGAATCATCATTTGAGGGAAAAAATCTACCAATAGGGTCGAGAACTTACGCGGTTGGCGTGTGAAGCAGGATCCAGACCTGAAATATGAGCGGAATTCCAAGCTTCTCGAGAGACATGGAAAATGAGATGAAGGCTACATATCATGTTAAGAGAACATGCCTTTACGAGCGAGACGGGGGCGTTTGGAAACCCCAGTCGAGTTCATTCGGCGAATTGTGGGATATCTCTACGCTTCTAGAACCCCCGCGGGAATCACATCCCTGATTGCTCAGAGAAGAGCGGACGGCTGAAATCTACACTGGTCCCCTCATACTGCATTCCCTGTAGGTCGAGCTTCCTCCCTCCGGCTTCCCGCCGATTCTACCGTTCGCCCGACCGCCCCCGAAACGATGTTCGCAGGTGTTGTCGAGCTGTAGATATAAGTACGAGTCCGTCATGCGAGTGTCCTCTCGGAAACTCGACTGTGGAGGAACCCGAAGTTCATCGAGGTGGAGCGTCCTCGAAGATGTCCCTCGATCTCATCCGAGCTGCCTCGCGGATCGTAGTCTCCAAGAGAGCTCACAGCAGCGAGAACTGCAAGCATAGATACGAGGCCCAGATAATCTCTGTTTTTAGGTCATTAGTCTCGCATTAAGCTTGACCCGAAATAAGAGCTCTATGAAGTTGACTTTTGACTCCACTATGATATCGTGCTAGGGTGGTACCCAATCACTGAGAGTAGTCGGTACCTGGCTCGGATGGCGGTCCGCAATGATGGGAATGCCTGCACAAGCAACCCGCAACCACGCAATCCTCTTTCTGACTTCGGTTGCACTGCAAGGATCCGCTGCGAGATTCTTCTTCCAAGCGCCTTGGTTGAACCCCAAATAAAATTCCTTAGGTTCGTCGGTCCATAGATCTCATAAATTCCGAATGATGATATCCATGATAAAATAATATATATGATCTATCTTTGCCCCACCTTCACGGCAAGATCCGTCGATGATCGTCACTGCTGTTGTAGTCGCTCTCGTTCGAAAGCGACTCGGAGCGTTTCGCTGTTCCTGAGTCATTTATGCGGTGAGTGAATGCGATAGACTCGAGGATGAGACCACGGACTGACGGAGATTCTGGCCGGATCACGGCATCCTCCAGCCACCGAGGAAATTCCCTCTCGTCAGCTGAAGAGGAAAGCCACGACACCTCCATGTAACATAGCCTTGCACTAGCCCAGCGCCAGCGCCTTTCTCAGCGCCTACGCAGCACCCCTTTCCCCTCTTCATGAACCTCTGAATACCGATCAGGATCTCAAATGGATGCGTCGAGGTCACCGCTGCGCAAAACGCATTTTTGATGGAAATGTTTTTTTCCCAGGTTCCGGTTCCGAAGCCCGGAAAGACCCATTCCCACTGATATCCGAGCAAAATATCCCGGATTTCGATGAAAATAGTTTTTTTTCCGGATTTCGGAGCCTGCAGAGAAGGGGTAGGAAATGCAGGACAGCAGAGAAAAACGACTCGGGGTTGCACCGGGGCTCGGAAACTTTCAGAAAAGCATGTCAAACCAGGTGATTGTCATTTTCAAAGAAGAATGTTTACTTGTGAGTCTTACAGCAAGCATGAGATCGGAAGGTGCATAAGATCGCAATTCACAGAGGACAGCTCCGCTCATCTCCGTATCCTGTGCCGGATCGCTCTCTTGTTCGGGGGCTCTGTTCTCTCACCTATGGCAGGTGGCGAGTTCAGGGATCCTACAAGAAGTGACACGCGTCTGACTGGGAGCCGTTTCAGGATAATAAACACGAGTATCTTGCTCCAGAGCGCTAACTGCGGATCTGCGGTTCTGAGCTTGAGACATTGGAATTCTCTAACCACCGTCCGCCGCCGCCGTTCGAGGGAATCATCAAACGAGCTCTCGATGGCTCTGACATTGGAGGAATGATTTCAGCCGGCTTCGATCCCAATTAATCTCTTCCTACAATCTATCGAGAGAAAATCCGAATGTTCCTGAATCTCTCAAGTATGAGAGGGTTTATTGGCATTGATTTATTTTTTCAATTATTCGGTACGTAATGAGAAAATTGGCAATCTGTCAACAATCACGAGCAGCTTAATTTGATACGAAGGAATATGGAATCTAAAATAAGTTGGGCCTGCAGAGCTACTGCACATCATATCAATCCGGAGAGCTTCCACCGCTTCGGATACTGCGGAGGATCATTGAGCTGAATGTGAGCGCCCGCGCACGAAGATGAGTGTTTCGAATACATGTACAATCACCGCGACATCCACCTGATATCCATGGTTGGGTGATGATTTGAAGGGGAAATATCGATATCAAGTTCAATACTCCGATCTGTCGCCAAACTGAACAATGCGTGGTTCTCTCTCAGCATTTTGACGGATGCGCGAGCATCGATGGGCAGACGATCGAGCAAATCACACGGACGACTCGTTGGAGCTCGCTTTCCTGAGCCTCTTAAGTCGGAACCGCGGACTTTTCCTGACAAGGAGATCACGGTACCCTTCTTCTCAAGATTGCGTTCATTAAAGTACCCTCTAATATCGGAGCTCGACAAAGTCGCGGGTTGATGGATGAGGGGACTTTTCAAGCCAAGTAATGATACGATGTCCGTCGACGCTCAATGTAGCTCTTCTCCACGAGTGACTGGAGGCTCTTCGAAATAATATCGAGGTCGATGCTGATGCGACTAGATTTCGCGACGTGATCTATGTATGTATTGCACTCGAGACATTCGAATTTCTAGAGAAGCCTCATCAACAGAGCTTCGGTGTAAATCCGCTTTTCAGCATCGCTGGCTGGTTTGATCGCCGCTTTTGCGACCTGGATTGCACTCCTAACCACATGTCCTGGGCATGGTATCGAGCCGGTCCGCTAGTTGCTTCTCGGCATTTTGTGCAGCCAGCTGTGGTTGAACTTTGGTGACGCGTCGCTTCGTTAGTTGGGGAGTTCTCCGTGCTGCACGGCACCTCAGACTTATGAGGTTGTGATCGCTCATGGCTATCAGCCTATCCTCATCGACGGTCGTTTTCTCGACATGACTCAATGCTATGCTATTCATCAGGAAGTAGTCGATCGCTGACTTTTCCCTTGTGTATCGGCCTTCGCATCGGTCTGTCATGTTAAGTATAGTGAGTCCATTTTCTACAGCGAACTCTTCTAGAAGTTGGCCCCTCCTGTTTGATTTCGCAGCTAGACTCAGTATGTGGGCGTTTGCGTCTCCGCCTAGGACGAGACAGTCCGTCGGAGTGCATGTCTGTTTGATTTTTGAGGCAAGGGTCTTGAGAAAAGTTTTGTTCTCTCTATCAGTTCCATGCTTCACGTAGAAAGATATGAATACCCATCTACGCTTGCCGATCCATACAGCCTGTGCAATAAAGTCAATCCCTTCGTGGTGCCAGTCTACCTCATAGTTCTCTCGATAGAGAATAGCCACGCCTCCGTTCGAGTTTTTGCCGCTGGCACCTCTACGCTTGCTGTGGACTATGTTATAGGTTATAGCCTTGGATAGTTGGTGCTTTCTCATTGTTCATTAGTCGTGTTTCACATAGAAGCATTATGTCCACGTTAAGATCAATGAGCACATCATTCTCCAGTGAGATCCACTTAGCCATACTAGATTTAGAACCATTCATGTTAAGGGATGCAATATTGATTTTATTTTCAGCTTCTCCGTGTCCGAGTCCTCCAGTTCTTCGGAGGCCTCTTCTACGGTAGCGCCATATCGGCTTGATCGGCTGGTGGCATTCCTTAGGATTTCGGCGGTGCATTGCCACTTGCTTTGGGCCTATTCTTGCCACCTCGATCCTTTTTGGGCCTCTGAGGGTTGGATTCATTTTAGGATCTAGACTAGATTTTTGCATCTGCTGAGAAAAGAGGGATATTCAAAACCTCCCACCCCAGGTTTGGGTATCGATTCCAGGGGTTGATACCCAAATTTCGGAACTGTTTGCGAACTCGAGTCGACTCCTAAATCATTATGCATGAGATTAGGCTGGAAGCGAGATCGGAACCAAGGGAGAATATCGAGCTCAAATCGGAAACAGCTCTCTGATCAGACCGCCCGGACATTAGATTACGGCTTTTCACAACGACTCCAGCTCTCGACATGGACATGACTTCTCCCGATACCGATCGACAAGGCAACGATTTCACAAAAGGCTCTGATTTCACTTCACTGTCACGCCACAGATCTCGGGATTTGCGGTAAGGTCTCGAATATTGTTGGATATCCCCCCTCGAACATCCTCGAAATCTAGAACAGACCTTCACTGAGCTATCGGAGGGTAGCTTAGTAATTCGAACCTGTCCAGCCTGGCATGAAGTGAATAATCCATTCCGCATACTAGAATCGAACTCCCTCTATTTCTGCTCGGCTTAATTACGTCGTCATCATATTGAGTGAGGAGGACTTCAGCTAGAACTATCCTTTCATCTGGAGCGGACCAACAATTGCTGACTCGTCGTGCTCCACAGAATGAGGGGAATAATAGGACCTCCCTCCCCTCTTCTGCCTTCCAACTCAATAAAATCTCGGAAGCAAGGAGTCAGATAGCGATCGAACTAGTCGAAGCAAGGTGACATCTCATCCTCTGTCTCATCACGAGCTCACCTGACCATAATGTCGAATAATACGGCGACTCAGCTCACCTGCGGGCGAAGAAGATATGCCATCACATATGCGGGCCCCGCAGCGGGGATGATAGACCGGGAGGGCTGAAATATGAGAAACGTCTCACAACGAGCGATGGGAAAAATAGCTCAATGATGAGTCATAGTCTATGATCACAGAGGGAACGGGAATTCAAGAAACATCCTCGGGGAGGACCGCACTTACATTCCGGCCGTCTCAGCCGCGTTCTGCGACGCTCCTCCGCTGAAAGCTGTGAATCATCGGCAACAGTTAGTGAATAGTTTGGGATGCCTTAATGAATTCAGAATAGGTGATTGAACGCTGTTATATTTCATTGACGGCACTCAAATCAGTCGTGATTTTCGTCCACCTTGCGCAAGAACGGCGGTGACGCTGACACCGAGAATGAAGGAGAGGAGTCCGACGATCGACTTCGGAAGTTTCGCGAGCTGGTGTGGCGAACAAGTTTATGGTTCAGTTTAATTATGAGAATATCTAATAAAGAGTGAGCCGGGTTATCGCCGGAGCTGAGGGCGAGAACGTCGGGCATCCGGCCACGAGCCCTCAGGGCATCGGGTCGCGAGAATTTAGCCATGATAACGATCGGCGGCGAGGTATCAGAATACAGGGCTTACGATGTATATCACTTGCGTCTTCAGAGCAAGTTCGGTGACCGGGATACAGTCCTTCTGAGTCTAGTCGGTATACCGGAGATAGCGAGAGGAGAATTCCCAGTTCTGAGGGAGTCTTTCGGACTCAAACCGTTGGCGGACGGCGTTACCAGCCCGTCGGGACTCGGGGTGGACATTCTTATCGGCCAGGATTTCCTAGCGAAGGTCGTGCGCGGTGAGGAACGTATTTTCGAGGACCGCGGCTTCCGCTGCTTCGGCAGACGTTTCGGACTGGATCCGGCGGACGGTGGCTTCAGGCGAGGTGGAGGGACCGGATTGGATCCGGCGGACGGCGGCTTCGTGGCGACGCAGGGCCGCCAGATGCAAGCTTCGGGCTTGGGCAACTGGGCTCGCTGGGTCGGGGGTTTCGAGCGAGGAGTCGCGGCGGCATCTGCGCATCTGCAGAACTCTGGCGAGGAGAGCAGCGTCGATGGGGGGGGGGGGGGGGCACGGGGTCCCTGGTTCCTCTGGCGCGAGCACCCTGTCGGCAGCTTACGTAGGGCTGACGTTCGTCGAAGGTCATGCGATCCCAGACCAGGCGGGCCGCTGCGCGGACTTCCCCGAAGGGTGCCCCCCTGAACTCCTCGCACATGAGCGCGGATCGCACAAACAGGCCCAAAGGGCTTCGATCAAACTCACAATTTGGCATGATAGCGTTGGAGTACGTCCGATGGCTTCACAGAGACCGGCACGAATGACGAGAAGCGGGATCGAAAGCAAGAGATTTGACTTGAGAGAGAATGGTTGGACCAATGGAGAAACAGGCCGCGCACATCGCACATATCCATTTTCAAACGGTTTCCGAGGCTCGGCCTCCGAGTCCGAGTCATCTTCCGCGCACTGGTTGTTTCAGTTCCGGTCTCGCTTCTTCTCAAATTCCTCTCCATCTGTATCAATGTCGCGTTTATGAGATGTGTTCAACGAAGTGTACCAGGATGTCCCTGGCAGTTATTACTAATTCACAGGATCGGCAGGAATTTGGCCGGGAGTGTGGCGAAAAAGTTTATGGTTCAGTTTTATTATGAGAATATCTAATAAAGAGAGAGCCGGGTTATCGCCGGAGCTGAGGACGAGAACGTCGGGCATCCGCACCTCGCGGCATCTTCGGGTGGCGCGGCTGCGCGGCGGCTAAAAACACATGCGAACACGACGTGGTGACGACACCACGCTCAGGGTTCAGCTCCGACTGTAACTCGAGTAGCTAATACAAAACTCAGAGAACCAAGCGTCTATTACTTTGGGTGAAGTTCGGGGGTAGTTCGCAAATTCGCAACAGCTGGAAAGAGATGTCACATGAGAATCCGTGCTCTTCCTAGTAGATGGTCAAACCGGAGCGGTTTAACCAGAAAACTCAATGTAAGCCATACTCTCCGGCCGCTTCCTTGGTCAGAGTGAGAAACACAGATGAATGGTGTGTCCTGTAGTGTTTAACCACTGAAGAGAATACGACCGAATACGTCGGCGTCTAGACTGGAAGTGATTTATTGTACTTCGTCGTTTCCAGCTACTGACTATGCTACCCGTGCGGGCGCTGTCCGCCACATGCCACATGTCCGACAATGAGCATGGTCGGGAAGTTAATGTCACGGATCGACCCCTCAAAAACTACTATGAATGAATACACTGAAGTTCGGTTCACAGATGGGCTCCAGAGAGGGTGTGACACGGAGGGTTTGAGTGAACAAAATCCCTTTCGAGTTTTCCGGTCGTCGGGAGCGACCGGCCTGATGAGTTGCAACTTGCAATGTTGTTATCTTTCTTCTTTCTCTCTGTTCCGCAAAACCCTCTCTGTGGCGCAAATTTCTACTCCACAAGCCGTGAGGGCGCCTCGCGCCCCCACAGCCTAAGGAAAATCAAGTGTTGCTTTTCGTTGTCCAAGGGGAAGGGTATGCAAGCAATAGACATCTTGTTCCTCTTTGAGTCTGGACTACATAATTATAATTATCGTGAATAAGGGGTGTTGGGAGGGGCTCATTCTCGTGAAGATTATTTGTCAAGTCTCGGAGTGGAAAAAGGTCTGACTGCGCTTCATAACCGGGCATGGTTCCAAATCCAAGCGCAGAGAGCCGGAGCCTGACGAAACCGGCCAACGTTGTGGCGTACTTTCTTAGCGCGGGGTGACGCTTCCGAACGAAGCGGACGAATTTTTTTTTCACGGGATCATGGGCACCTCACGGCATTCCGGGCACCTCTTCTCAGAGCCGCAGCCCCTCGGCACGTGCCCCCGGCATACGCCGCTCGACACGCTCGCTGAACGCTGAAACGAATGGAGTAGGGGCTCCTTCCTTGATACAGGTTCCGATTGCGAAGCTGCACAAACACGTGAATTTCACGGAAAACATGCGATTAAGCAGTTAGAAAAGTATATCTCGACCTCACTGGAGTGATTGCGCATCGATCGGGAAAATTTGGGGTCTGTTCGGAGGTGGAGAGCGCTAAAAAGTGGTCCGGTGTCCGGCAGACATAGCGCTTTTATGTATTAAAATATGTATTAAGATAAATAAATATATATATACATACAGGGGGATAGGAATCATGCAATACTAGTACTTATATACACATTTCAATCAATTAGCTGGCTTCCCCGACTCGATCACCATACGAATTGTTCGTATGTGACAGTTAATGCCCTGACTTATGGCCGCTCGTTGGTGGTCGGCGTTGACGAATTCCGGCGTCCTCGAAGGCTCCACGGCTCTGAAAGAGATCAGATAAGCTTAACTAACGATGAAGATCCAGAAGAACGCGCCATGGACGATATCGCAGGCAATCTCTTAAAAACCGTTCATGTCGATGCTTCATGCTGCTACGTGAATCGTTTCCTGTTTCTAATGAGGCGCCTAGCGTGACCTGAGGCGGATGTCCATGTGCGTGGTACGTAGTAGATCACATCCACCCGAGCAAGCAGACAGACGTGAGGCTCGCGCCAAAGCATAAGCAGAGTGCTCTTAGAATCATACTTCTTAATCCGCAGCCGTAGTCTCCGCAGTACCCTAACATGGGGTCAGGCAGCTGAATCCACGATCAGCAACCGTGAACGAGGACAAGTCTTCAATACAACTCCCAGCGCCTGTAGAATTCGCGCGCACCGGCCTCAAGCAAACTATGATCAAGATCATTCATCTAATTTTCCGCCACAGCCAGATACAGCGAAGTCGAGCTCAACGAGTAGATAAGACATCTGTTCATTCTTGCCGGTGGGTTCGGACGGCTTCTCCAAGA